CTGGAAGTTTGCGGGTTTGAATATATATATATTAGTGCTGTCAAACGATTACAATATTTAATCACGATTAATCGCATTAATGTAATAGTTAACTCACGATTAATCGCACATTTTTATCTATCATAAATGTCTCTTGATTTCTTTTTGTCCCATTATTTTTTTCTCATTTTAATGCTCTTATCAACATGGAAAAGTGGATCGGCTTGCTTTGTGCAAATGCATTTTATTGAAAACAACATTGGCATATACAGTGGTCAATTTCACACTAATATTCTCACTTGGAGCAAATAATCTCTCAATGTAACACTGTCCATCAATAAAAGGGTGAAAGAAATACTGACGAGGTCCTGATATTGACGAGGGGGCGGAGAATTCGCATCAGCTGTGTGTGTGTGTGTGTGTGCTTGGCCATCATCAAGTGGTATTTCAGACTGGACGTGCTTCGATGACGATAGCTCAGTTCACAACAACAACAAAACCACACAGATCACTTTGGTCTTGTCAATGGAACCATTTGGCAACTTTTAAAAAGTAAACTTTCCATTCAGAATCTTATTGGCATCCATTTCGGCGTCTCGTGCTCGTCATCCACTCAAAACGTAACGTTAACCAACTATTTGGCCGGCTCGCGAGCCTAAACAAGTGTGTGCGTCGTGCCTGTAGTTTTGTTTCCGGTCTAGCTAGATCCGCTTGCGCTTTGGTCGACGAAGCAACAAAACGTCCTCGTGCGGCGCAAGCCATTGAAATGAATGGGTTTCATCCGCGCCGCGCATGCCGCGTCCTGTTGCAAAAGCATGTGAAAAAAACTGCAAAGTCTGCTAGGCCAAAAAGACTGTTAATAGCGCGATAAAAAATACGGCAAGAGCTTTATTTACGGTAATACGGCATACCGTGAACAGGATCACTCCGCTTGTCTCTGCACGTTTTAGACATTTCTCCCAGCAAGCGGCAATGGAGGAGGAAAAACCCACTATAATTGTTGTTTCATGGAATGAAACAAGAGTTTTTCAGAGGAGAATGTAGTTGTTTAAACCTCGAATCTTTGGTTTATGCATAAAGAAAATGTGATGCTACAATGTTTTCTGAGTTGTGAGATCCAGGTGATCATCTGGGAGTCAGCGCTCATGTACCCTGGCGAGAACAGCCTGACCTCAGCATGTCATTCTGACACTTCCCACTTGCTCTGATTTCTCCATAGCGGTTAAACATCATTTATTTTTGGTAAATCTAACAGGCAATCTTTCATGTAATTTTTTATTATAATTATATTAAATATTAATTATTTTTTTATGACAGTTGTTACAGTCCATTTTTTACATTAAACTTACAACATTTAGAAATTATATTACTATATTATACTATATTAAATTATTATGTTTTTGCATTATAATTATAGTACAATTTTTTACATTACAGTAATGAGATTGTGATTAAGAGTTATGAAAATAATTATACAATGCTAAATGTATTTTTTCTATGGACATGTATTTAGACACCTGTACATGGTCTGGACATATTTTTTTAGATTCCCCCAAAAGTGTAATTGCCAGATATATAACAGATAACCCAAGGCTCAATGAGTGAGGTATTGATTATGTAAGTTTTATCAGTCTCGTCTGCTTACAGTTTATCCTCGAGTGTTTGTTATCTTGATTTTACTTGAATCATTTTCTGTTAGTTTTACACATTTTCTGCATGGTTCATATTCGCCTCTTCCAGGTTCTGGCACATGTCCCTTGTGTCTTCATACTTTATCTCTCATCTTACATCAAACACTTTCTAATTATAGCTTGTCAAATTAGTAAAGATGATTAGCCTTCGACACACAGTATTATACAGCAGTAACTCGTCTGGTGAATTGTGTGGACGTGTTGGGATCTACATTAGGGGTTACAGTACATCAAGCAGAATGTGGTTTCTCTCCCAGCCTTTCATCACATGACCTTCTAGCAATCAGAGGGAAACTCCTGCTGTGAGTCTCCACAGAGACACGCGTGCTGCTTATGAAACACAACTCGTCATCATGTAGACGGATGCATTAATAGAGCTTAAATACTTCAGGTATTTCATCTCAATACACTCTAATCATTACTAGAATCTAGGGAGCGACAGATATAATGAAAATGAAGAATGAACTGTCAGGTTTGATAAGATAAATCTCTTCTGCCAGAAAAAAATATATCACAGAGGTAAAACATATGACGATATAGCAAGTATAGCGGCAGACTGTTACACCACACAACTTGCAAAGCATTTAACTTAATGTAATGGAACATTTCTAAAAAAAATAAATAAAAAAAAATCGTTTGCTCCTGAATACTTAATATAATGTAGGGCAGAACTTTATCCATCAGGTTAGCTGTTGTATTAATGGGGAATTAATATAACTGTTCTTCATTCACATGACCTTGGTTATATAAAGTTGTTCCAAGTTATTACATTTTGATGAAGGATGACTGTAATGTGAGTTGGTGTCTTCATATCGTAATGAACCGCACTCTTGATATATCTCAGATCCCAGCAGGAGGATCTTCTCCTCTTTCACAGTAAATTATTTATTTACATTTATAGGTTGTCAGCTTGTAATTGTCACTGGGCGTAACTGACAGGATATGATGTTTCAATCAAAAGAATTTCAGTAGGCCTCTTTACAAATCTCTCAACTGTTACTTTTTAAACTTCCATACTAGTGTGCTAAACCTTTTGTTTAATATGCATTTAGGACACATTTAAATCTGGATAATTACACAAGTTTATACGGTTCTATATGGTAACTCTATAAATGGACTAAACTGTACAGTTCTCTGGATTACTTGATTCTGATTGGTCAGTCATTAGTCTGCTTGTGTATTACCGTTCACAAGTTTAGGGTCTGACTGATTTTTATGCTTTAATTTTTAAGTCTCTAATTCTCATCAAAGCTGCATTTAAAAAACAGTAATTTTGTGCACTTCAGCTTGTATTTAACCCAGGCTTTTGAAGATTTTGTAGGTTTAGAAGTTTTGGTGCAAAAAAAGTGTTTCACACCTGTTCTTCAAGTCTGTGATGTAATTGATCTGAATTATTTTGAGACAACTGTCACAAATATATTTTCTGATTGCATTTGCATGTCTATTTTGTTTACTTACCAGCACCCATTCATTTTGCTTGTAGCAAACATATTTGCATATTTTTTTAGGCAAAAGGAAGGGGTAACTTTATTTTCCCCAGGTGTATGTTCTATAATGCTCATAAAGACTGTGAATCAGTGCAATTTTAGTATAATTGAGATACTGTTATAGTTGCCATTAATATGTGATTTATTATTATTATTTTTTACATTTTCCAGTATACTTTTTCCCGGTAGCAGCACCGCACCTCTAGTTCACACATATTGTAAGATTAATAATTTCACGTGTGATTGTGTTAATGAGAGAGAGGAAGAGAAGCGAGGTTATATAGCAGCGATAGCCTTGAGTGTGTGTCTTGACACAGTGACACAGCCTCTCATCTCAAAGAAACCCAATCCTGTCACAATCTGTCAACAGTTCGCTCGCAACCTGACAGCGGCTCCCTGCTGTTCCGCAGAGAAATGTGGAACGGTATTGCTAACATTATACACATTCTCCTCTGATTTGCAATTTGCATATTGGTCCAGTTGCTTCATTTTAAAGTAATCAGATGCTGATGTCGGTTGTGATTTGGAGTATGGCCTTCTGATTTGTGTGCCGTAGGCCTGAGCAGCTCAGTGGAAGTGATTGTTTAAATATTGGATGTCAACTGGATTGTATTTGTGTTTCTCAGTACTGGGTCAGCGGTCAGGGTGTTTGGCCTGCGGGCTCTTTAAACATCTCTCATTGGGCTGTTTACTCTAGTCATGCTTTTGTTTGCACTATCTGGTCCTTTATCACTTTCGTCTCTATTCTCGTTCAACTGAACACTACACCCCATCCAGTAGTATAGTAGTGTGGTTTATAGTAAAACCACAGTGCCATGCCTCAAATCTGGTTACTTGAACTTTATTTTTCAGTTTGAGGTTATTCCCAAAATAACTTTTTCAAAGCACCTCAAATCATTCCAACCCTGAATGAACAGGTCTTTCAACCAACCTAGCATGCTTTGCAAGACAATATTGAAACTAGTAGACAGAATAAATTCAAACCGTACTGCTTTCAGAGCATGTATGCATGTGCACACTCACAATTATTGTGCTTCATTTTTGATTTGCTGATTTGTCTCTGTGTTTGGTGATGCATCTTGTCCATGTGACTGTTTGTGGCTTTGTATGTATTTTTAACAATATCTTTGTGTTAAACACTTAGTCACCGGTGTCCTAGTTACCTGGCATCCTATCACCTTACTCTAATCTTTAGGCCGTGGCCGCTGAATGTGTCGGAAGATTGAGATGCAGGGCATTGTGGGAACAGCAACCTCAGGAACGTGACCAACACACAATACCTGCTCCAGACATTCCCAACCTTCTTCAGGCTTGTTGTTGGGACAACCGGCGTGTACATCTCAGGAGAGAGTCTTTTTACACAACAGTTAAAGGCAATTGAGATCATTTCAATAGTCTTGAGTTTTTAAGCTTGTGTTTGTGCGTGTGAGACCGTCTCGGACCTGCGGGGAGTCCTGGAGTACTGTTACACCGATAGCCACCCCTTATGCATGTTTCATCTGCTGGGAGGAGAACAGAGCCTTCCTTTGTCATCTAATACGTCCAATCCACCAGCTGTAGGCCTCAAACACTCCCAGCAGTTTTACCCACCTCCACCAGTCCGTCCACCCAAACACCATCAGGTGCTCTTTGTCAGTTCAAAGTGTAGCTAAATCGAGAAGGAAAGAGCCCCGGATTCTCAAGCAATCGTCAAGAAAGTATTCTGTAAGGAAATTCAGCACCGGACTGGATCTTTGACTTTTGACCAAAGTACATTTTGTGCTCCGGCTCTTTACAGACGCTCAGGATCAACTTAACACCTCCGTTTCCTCTTGAATCTTTAACTCGGTCGGTTTGGCAGATCGGGCTACGTCTCAATTTAGCATCTTAACGGTGATCACAGCGGCAGGGGTGGTGAGTGTGGAGCATGACGGACACCCTTCGACCACCATCCCTCCAGGTGCACGTCCCCCGGGACGATCCCGGCCATGGAGAGGGCGGAGGCGGAGGAGGTCATGACAGCCTCGTCTGGTCCAACTCGTCCACCCCCACCCTGCGGCGCCGACGGTTTAAGATGAGGCGAATGAAAAAGCTGCCCAGTGAGCGGGAACGGCTTGAGAACGGGCTACAGTGGCAGCCAGGATCACGCTCGGCTTCCAAAGAGTACCTTCAGCTGCCCTCCATCGAGATCACGCCGTCCAGCGACGAGGACGCGGCCTGGTCCAACAGCTCCACCCCGAGCGCCTCGCCCCGGCGCAAACGCTTCCTGCTTCGCAAGTGGCTCAAGGTGCGAGAGAAGAAGGAGCAAGGCAGTGAGAGCAGGTTGGTGTTTCAGACGTGATTCTGGAGATATAAACATACACCTCTCAATTGGTGATTTATAGCAGCAGTTACTCTTATTTTGGGATTGTTCGCCCAGATACGGTTTGATTCTTTTCGTAAAAACAAAAACTATCATACAAAGTTAAACGATTATTTATTATAAATACCACTATACATAATCAATATATTTTTAAAAACACGAGAAAAAAATGGACTTGCTGTAGATCAAAATAATATGTTTTAACTTAAAGTAACACCAGGTAACTTTTCAACCTTAATATATTTCCAAGTCTCTTGTGATGGTACATCGACTTACAATAGGTTGAATGACACGTCTGCCATAGCCTGACGGGGTCTGTAGCGTTTTTAATCGTACTTTTAAACTTCGGGTTTCGGGTAGTAACCGGCGAACAAAGAGAACTACAAAATTCGACTGCTTTACGGCATATACGTCACTTCCACCACCACCCCCACTTCCTTAAAATCGGACGTGCGAGCCAAATGTTATAGTCATGGCCGAAGCAGCACAGAAAAACAAGAAAGCAAAGGTTTTATCGGAGCAAAGCAAAAAGAGAAAAAGAGAAAGTGATCGCGTTAAAGGCAGAACGAGGATCAACATTGGGCCAGCATTTTCTCGCTGGCGTGAGCTGAAGGAGGAGGAGGGGTGCCCGACCGATGCGGACTTGGCAAAAAAAAAAAATCAAATGAAAGCCTATGTCTAAACGGCGTGTACAAGTTTGGTAGGGGCTACATTCTTGCAAGTAAATATATAAGATGTACAAAATCATATTTTAGGATACCTAACATGTCTGTGATATTTGTTTATTTGTCTTGCCTCAAGCTATAATGCAAATCGATTTGTAAAATTTGCAGATTCATTTATGGTAGCTTGATATTATAATATTGACGATATATGGTTATTATCTACCACTCAAACATTGCATTGAAGTATCATATAGATCCAGTAAAACGGTAACCAATAGACTAGGCTACTATAATGACACTGGCTTGTAAACGTGAGCATCGCGATCATTTGTCGTTAGAAAAAAATAAAACCCATGAAATTATATTCATATGACATGCTGAAATATATGCCACTGTACCTGGGATGAAGACATTTCAGACAAGACGCAAGCAGAACACCTGCATGTGACCTCCTCCTACAGTGTTCAGGGCTATCATGGTTGTCAACAATTGCACGTGCATGTAGGATGACAGAGTTTACGACAGTAGTAGAGGTCTAGAGGACAATACTGTTTCTCAACTGTAGGGGGACCCCACCCCGAGAGCAAAAGTAACCTGGTGTTACTTTAAAGGGTTAGTTCACTCAAAAATAAAAATTCTGTCATTAATTGCTCACCCTCATGTCGTTCCAAACCTGCAAGACCTTCGCTGATCACGTACGTCAGAACGCTCACTCATTATTGGCTAGCTCCTGCATCAGCATCACACATGTGCTCACGTGAACCGCGTCGACCAATAATGAGCCTGCGTTCCGACGTAGAACCTGGAAGCGCTGCACTGTGTTTACTACGTGATCAGCGTAGGAGACTGACATGGAAGAGATTGTTGAATGAAAAATATATTTTTGGGGTTGTTTTGCACACAAAAAATATTCTCGTCACTTCATAACATTAAGGCTGAATCACTGTAGTCACATGGACTATTATAACAATATCTTTACTAACTTTCTGGGCCTTGGAAGTGGTAATAACGTTGCATTCTACAGTATACGGAGGGACATAAAACTCTCAGATTTCATAAAAAATATCTTAATTTGTGTTCCGAAGATGAACGAAAGTCTTACGGGTTTGGAACGGCATGAGGCTGAGTAGTTAATGATTTTCATTTTTGGTTGAACTGTCCCTTTAATGTCACCATAAACAAAAGTTAATTTTGTTAATTTTCTCTTGCGATAAAACTAAAAACAAATTGATCAATATTCTCTTTGAAAGACCTTCGTGTTTAAAATATGCGTCATCTTTTTTTTTGCACATCAACATCTGATATCAAGAGAAAATACTATTTAAACAAAATGATTGTATTTTTTTCAATAAGGGGTATTATTTACTTTATAACAAACTGAACAAAACTGGTTTAAACCAGTAACCACGATCATGTGTAGTTAATTCTGTAGGAATTGGCTTAGCTCTATATGGTGGAAATTAATTGCACATGAAGTAGCAATGATTTTTAGTAATAATAATGATTTTAATTTATATTCATTTATTTCAGATTTTGTGTACTTTCTTCTTTTAGTGTTTATTATAAATCTGTTTGTTGCATGCAGCTTTGTGGTTTTATGGTTTAGTCTTGAAACTTGAGAGTATTGAAAGTTGAACTTGTTGAATCCAATAAAATGTTGGCCAGTGCGGTTCAAGATCACCTTATTGTGGTTTATTGATGATAATGATCAACTCACAATAGATTATCCCTCTTATTACATGGCTGCATACTAAAAAAAATGAGTTAATAAAACACGATGCCAGGCCAAATGAGCCTAATATGGAGGGGAAGGAGGCAGGATTGAGTACTAGGTACAGGGAAGCAATCTTTAACAGTCTTGGATAGGGTTCACTGACAGTGATATGTAACTCTAATGACACAGTCACTGCCTTGCTTGCTGCTTTGACAGTAATTTGCAGTAGGAGGTTGAAAAGCCACAAAAACTCATTTGGCTGTGATATTAATTTTATTTTTATTTTTTTGCCACAGTTGATTTGCATCATTTTGCATCAGGTTCCAGCCAGAGCTAAATATTGTAGGTTCAGTCCTTGGTAGAAAGTATATCCTTAAGCAATGCATGTCTATCCTGGGATCTCCGGCACTCAGTGCTGGTTTCTTCGAACAAAATAAGGCTGCTAAATGGAAACTAATAAATGTTTCTTTAGAGAAGAGCCCATAATGTCATTTAGTGGTTCGAATTGAATTTTGTGGCTCATTTAAAACATTGAGAGGAAAATAAATTGGATTACAAAGTCTGTGTTGCCTGTGTGAAGGAGATGTCCGTTTAAAGCTAATATGATTTCAAACCAGGTTTTCTTGAGTGTAGGAGAAAATGTGACAGAAGAGAGCCAGAGAAAGTGTGGTGTAGAGAGGAGGCTAGGTGTGTTGCAGATGGGTGATTTCAGTGCAGACAGCTTCGGTGATTATAATAGGAGCAATTTCGTTTTGGTGTGTCATGCGTGTAGTTTACCGGTGTAACTTGGCGCATTTAATATAGAATTCAACTTAAGTGTGGTCAGGCAAAGTCACAGATGTGCAACTCTACATATATTGATCAATTTACAATGCCTTTAGTTATAATTAGGGGTGTGATGAGATGTCTCGTCGAGTGAAAAGCTGTCTCGCGATATGGCCTTGACGGAGAGTGAGGGTGACATTAGCATAGAATATGCCACCGCTACACTCACATTACATTACGATGCCCACCGCGGCACCGCCTCCACTGTTGTTTTCTGTTTTTATAAAAAAGAAACTATTTATTGTAAACTATTTAAATGTCTGCTCTGCTCACCCAGCACGAGTTTCAATCGCACACAGACACAGTGCCGCAGGAATCACGGTTCACTGATCGCGCGACGATGGCGGATGATTCGTTGCGCAACAGCCTAAACGGCTAATACATGTCTTATCTTGTAGAATGCGCTGTACACAAACGCACCAGCCTCACTCACTCACTCGCTTCTCTCTACCCGGCCTTTCCGAACTGCAAAATAAAATGGCAATTTTACAACAATTATAAAGAGTCTGTGTGCTACAGTACTTTGACTATGTTTGCACTTGCACTTATTGTTTGCACTCAATAAGATAATACTGTTATTTATTTTTGATATTTATACTGTTTTTGTTTCTCTGTTCAATTTGTGGAAAGGAGTTCAATTATGAGGTCACACGCATCCTCGATCAGAAGTTCTGGAAGCTCATAATTCATGTACAGTAAGATCTGAAGAAGAGACTCGTGTGAAATCATACAAAACCAGTCAGTTGAGTTTGTGGCAAAACCTTTTACAGTGCTTGTATATTGTTGTCTTTCATGCATTTGATAATTCATACCAGGGGCGTAGCAACCGGGGGGGACATGTCCCCCGCACTTTTAGAAACAGGTGATTCTGTCCCCCGCATTTTTTTTTTTGACCCAGCGCCAATATTTCCGCCTGTGTTCTCTGATTTGTTACTTAGACTTGAGTGAACTAACATTGGACGAATGGACGTTTATATTTGGTTAAATTTCGGTTGCGACGTCGGGTGACCAAAATTCAATGTAAATTCAGCATCTAATATCAATGTTAAATTGATGTCCAATACCGACGTCAGCTGACGTTGAGATTTTGTTGTTTTTGCGTAACCAAAATCCAACGTTAAGTCAACGTCAAATTGACTTGACTTCAACCCGATTTTCATTTTCAACCAAAATGCAATGTCTGTCCGACGCCAACCTAACGTTATAGACGTCTGGTACCTGCGAGAAAAAAGATTGCTCAACAATTTGTGGCCTGCAGGGAAAGCCGAAAAATTCAGTTTGGTAGTTTTGATTAAAAATCTCACTTCAATTTTGATAATTTTAAAACCTTGTAAGCTTGATTCAGGTTTTATTGATGTATTTTTATAAAATGTCTGTTGTATAAAGTTACTGTAGATTTAGTCTGTATAGGCCTACTCATTGAACATTTTTTTTTGTCCAACTATTAAGAAGTGAGATAAAAGTTATTGTTCAAGTGTAGTGTAACTTAAATATTGTAAATATCATAAAATATCTTTATTTCATAAAAATAAAGTATAGATGTCAACAGTGGTCTTAAAGTCCCAAGTCCTGCTGTATTTTTTTATTTTGAGTATGATTTCACAAAAATGGGTTGCTGTAAGCTATCATGGCATGTTCCCAAAATTGCCACTAGGGTGCTGTAAAATGCCAATTGCTATTCTATCTAGAATTTTTTTATTATTATGAACATTGCCTTTGGCTCACATCACCATACAGCTTTTGTCCCCCCCACTTT